TATCTCAACCTACTTCTATTATCCATCTCTGGCTATTACTTTAGCCATAATTCCGCAAATTTCGAGAAGGGATTGAGCAAACCGAAAAAAAGGCAAAAATTCCGACCTCTCAAGTTTGTATTCTACTCAAACGGGAAAACATAATCCCCTTCCCCCACCCCGAATCGCGGTTTCTCCGATAGACTTTTGGGCTTGGATCAATCAAATGGAGAAGAGCATTGATCGCGACAGCTATCACGTACTGTAGCTGCGTCGAAAAAAGCGTATATATGAAACACTAACAAACTTTACCTTACGTCGCCTCCTAGACGCCCTTGCTGTCACAACTGTATTCTTCTGAAGATCCGAAATCATCTCTTTACGCGGTTCCGATGTCTGCAAATAACGATATAGTGTCGAAAATCACTTCGGGCAATACAAAGTGGCTAGTAAATTTTGGAGAAAACTCTAAAGCAACAACCCAGCAGAGGTCGTGTCAGGGCAGCCATTTTCCGGCATTACGGTCGATGGATACGGTCGCGTTTAATGGCCTGATTTGAGGCACCTTAATTCTCAATCAAAAGCTTCCAGAGTGGAAAGTATCAATGAAGCGACGCAATTTGGACTCTTTTAAGGCTTCTTGTTTGGAGGGAACTCAGCGACTACCTTTTACCCTAGCGGCCCACGGTTACCCTGGTCGAGAAGAGACCGAGCCTAAGCCATTACCGGAGCATAGAAGCGAGCTTATAAAAGAATAAATGACTTCCGTATCAAAATATGGCGAATTAGGTATGCACCAATATTTAATAGCCACTCTGAGTGAATGTGATAGACAGCCGAAAACTGAGGGAAATAAAATCGAGTCGTCAAGAGAAAGAAGAATTGAACCTGACCAAATTTGCTCTCTGGAAGGGGACAACGTCATCGACTTCCCACAAAGGAGAACGTTCAGGCTCTTTGCCGGCTCCGCTGCCCAGCGAACGCCTTGTCATCCAGCGAAGAAACTCGGGGCCATTTCTGATGAGATCAGTCACCTGCCTAACGACGGCCTCATCATTGACGAATAGCAACACTGACGGGCCTGAACAGACGATTGTAAGAAACTGCAAAAAAATGCATTTCATTGGGAAGTTCTACATACCATCTGGCCCGATTTCACACTGTCGAACTGGAATGCTTTTGATTTCCTCCAACACTGATGCCAAAACTTGCCACTTGGGTGGAGCTATTGCCCATCTTGGGTGAGCTAAAATCTGTCTGGCCTATTTTTATTCCGAGTTTCCACAACAGAAACTTAAGTCTCGTGAATTAAATGGTCCAAAATATCTCGGACACCAGACCTACCTGCACGCGCAGTAAATGATAAACTGCTGGGTGGAAAAATATATTTCGAAATGCGCCATGCATTTGATTTCTATTCGGAATCGCAACATAGCATGTTAATCTGCGTGTGTAATGAAAAGCCGAGACTATCCTGGATATCAAGTGCTGTCTCCTACTAGATCCGTATCATAAACGATTCGTACTCATGACCGTGAGATGCATTCCCGAGCATAATCCTTCGAATCAACACAAGCTGTGGTCGCCTTGCAAACCTTCGCAAACCATGAAATCCGATTTTTTCTGTTTACAGGTTTGTTTTTTTCTCAGATTGAGCAACTTTCTCAGCTTGTTTTTTGTTTGCTAAAGCAAAACGACAGTGAAATAAGTGTTTGCGATTTTCTGTTGATGACTGAGTGGATACTCATAACTCTCCCATTAACTTTGATTTCTGGAACGTCCGAAGATACCAAAATACGAAGTCAAATTGAGCAACTGAGGAGGCCAATTCCGGCATCAATACTTTTATCTGCAATTAACCACCTCTGCTTCCACATTCCAGCCGGTTTTTTAGCACTTTCGCCTCATCAAAGGCGTTTTCGAAAATTCGAGATCGTGGTCTCCTGGATTTCACTGGAATCACTAATAGCCACCGGAACTCTGTCCCTTGCACTGAAGACCCATACTCTTCACCCCTTAACCGGCTTGCTTTCCCAACGTCTCAGCTTCAACCATCAACGACTTATTTACCACTAGCTTCACGTCCACACTTCTTGCGCAGAACCTGTAGCGCCACAGCTAGCCAGGAAACTTACTCCTCACTTGGGCACAACTTACCAAGGGTATTAGGAAAATCTACTCACAGACGAATGGGCGAGATTTTGAACCCTTCCGACTAACCGCATAATTCTCGATATCAGCATCCAACTGATGTAGCGACCCTCGACATCATCCAGGTTCCACTGCGTTCAAAAACCTGGAAGTAATCATTTTGTATGCGTTTACCTCAGCGAAAACAGCCACTACACAGGAAAGAGCTAATCTCAGAGAGGGATTATGTCCCACCCTCTTTATCGTTTCTGATGGCGTTGATGCGGCTCAGTACAGTTGCAGGATCCATATCTTCCGCTATCTGTAACAGTTCACGGAGCATGGTGAGATCCGCCATCAAACGGCTTTGCTTGTCCGTCAAAAATGACCCGTAAGAAACTCGAAATAAAGACAAGCTTGTTATTTTGTCAAATGAGCCAAAAGACGACAACTAAAAGACCCACCGCCTTTGACTCAACTGCCTCTCCAAAAGGGTCGGTCTATATACAGCCACATGTATGGTGTCTTCCTCGAGGACCGCCTGAGGAAGAAAGCAATACTTAGAAGCAGTTGATTTAGAGAGATAAGCTTGGCTCCCTGCCGCGAAATAGCTCCCAGGCTTGAAAACTCTGCTATGGCATGCAGCTGCGTAAAAGCAATTAACGAAGTACTGATTGATAGGCGATTGGTAGAGGTCTGCGTAACTCTAATTGATAGTTCAGTCCCAGGCTTTTATTTATTTATTTTATTTATTTATGCACTCAATGGTGCGCTACAACCAGTCAGAAGTTTAGTAATCGGTACAAGTATAAATTTTTTAGACCGAAAAATCAACACAACAAACAATGGCTTTACAAAGTGAGAGAATATAACGAGAATTCCTTTGTACTGCTAGTCCGAAAAGTAGCAGAAAGCATGAATCACAAGATCAATCTGACAGAGTTTTCGGGATGCGCCACGCATTCTACTCCAACTCAGGATCGCAATTGCATTTGGCACACTATGGGCCTATAATACCAAAGGGCCGCCCGACGTTAGAACACACGTGTTTTATTCGATCCAGGACTCAATCCTCCACCCGCCGCATAGAATGCACCGCTGCTGTTACCACCTCCCTCTAGAAAACGATTCAGCTTTCAAATTTGGTCCATTTCATCCACCCAGTTTCACGAACGCAAAATTTTTTGCAAGCTGCAAATGTTTCATGTGAGACGACCGAATGAGAAATACCTGTTTCTCAGCAGTAGAACACTGCTTGAGTTCACGAATGCAGACTTTCAACAATTCTACAAATGTCGTGTGAACTCTGCGGAGAACTGGTGGCAGATCCACAATGAGTTCACTCAGGGCAGGCTAAAACACAAAAAAAACTCAAGAATGAGTACCTTACATGTGTACCTCATATAGATCGCTTTGTTGGTGAAAAATAAACAGACTCGTTAACTACCGGAGTTTTCTCCAAAGTGAGCTTCACGTCGGCATCGAAACGCGGAATAAGACGAACGCTTCTTATGTATAAGCGGTCAATGACCCTTTGAAGTTGACCAAGTGAACTAACTGAGTAGGCAGATCGGTGAAAGCCTGAAAAGAAAGAGAAAAACGTAATATATATAGCAGTCCATTGACCAACTCGGCTAATAAAGAAATCCAAGCCGATGGGCCGACACTGTACTCTACCGTGCATAGGCACAGAAAAGGTATTATTGAATCGTGTCTAACGTTTCTACAGTCGTCAGTACATAGGTATAGGATTTTTTCGTGATTTTCAAAATAACCTTATCATACGAGATGGATGAAGCCCCTCAGTAGATAAGAAGACTTTAATCTATCTAGCTTATTCGTGAAACTCCAACGTCCACAATCGCTCAAAAAGCCAGAAAACGAACTGTTCCCGCTGTTCGAAAGTGGGAGAGAAAGGAGCTAGGTTCTTGTTACTTATGCTGAAATTGGCTGCGGGCGCTAATCGCCACGCAACCCATGCAGCGAGGTGTCTGCGTCTCGCACGGCACTATGCTTTCCTGTCTGATTTCTCCTTTTCCAGCGCTCAATGTCTTGCTATGGAAACACTGTCTACTTCACGAGAAAGGGGTTCTCAATTTCAAGACCCCCTGTTTTCATTTCATTTTTTGCCACTTGAAGTCCCTTTTGCAACAGTGAAAACAATGAAGCAAACACTCGAGTAATGAATTAAATAATGACACATTTTTGACCAAGAAGTGCATGCACTCGTACAGTACCTTAACAAACCCGCCAGGTTTCCGCTCACGATATAATCGTAAAATAAAAGACTCTTGGAATGACGAAAGGATCCTGGAACAAAAGAACTTAACAATCAATAGATGCAATGAAACATTGATAATCTTACTGATGAGCTCGGTAAACCAGAATACCAGCAATGTTTTTGACAGGGACTCTGTCCGTAAGCAAATCCACCAATAGTATACGAGATGTGAGGAATTGTACGCCACCTTCGAGGTATACAGCTTCTCTAAATGATTATCAAACCATGTGAATGAATACCAGTAGTAGCCATACTCAAAATTAGCAACTAGAAGGGCAGTATGACATTCGGTCAATCTCTCCTTTGTTTTGAGCATCTACCAAAGAAAAAAGGCACACCCCATAATCGGTTAGTAGCGACTATCTCGCTAAAATCATGGAACTAAAGTGGCCGATAATGAAGAAAAAGAGGAGCAAACCATCGGAAACACCAAAGCTAAGGATCTTGTGGAGTCCTTAACTTGCGAGATAGACAGGGGTAAAACGACGAGATATTGGATGCCGAGAATAGAGAGCAGACGACAAAGTAAGCGGAGGTGCAGACACATCATCACTGGACACGATGGTGTGTCTGCAGCTTCACTCGCTCTGTCAGCTCTCTTTTTTGGCGTCCAGCATCTCATCGCTGAAAATGAACTTAGAGAGTGACAATCATCTGTTAAATGCCGAGCCCTAGCACCTTTACCACGCACTTTCGACCCTTCGGAAAGTCGCATTTACAAACTTGGTGGACAATAAGCCAGAGGGGAAGTCATCACGGAGAGTCCTTCCAGAGAAACCGAGACCCGTTTATCATCAAGAGTCATATGCTCTCCACATCACTAATCGGAAAACTTATAGAGGAAATAACTTAGGCTACTGTCCAAATCGTATAACTTCGTATAATGTATGCTTCGTGGTAGAGAGACTCATTTCGGTATTATTCACTGGAGCCTCGACAACGCCCACATCCTATAACAACGCTTAGACGATTCCTTAATGAATGAAGCCAATCTCACAACGAATAGACGAATTAGAAGCAAAGATAAAAAGTGGTATGTTGGAAAGCTTAGGGCAGACAAATTAATTAACAATATCCTACACTCAAGTGAGCGCTTTTCAAAAAACCGCCATCCGCATACCGATGCGCGAAACCTATCCGATAGTAACGCTACTATGATTCTCTTACTTAATCCGCCATAGCGGCAATCTGCAGTGCATTGAATTAAATGCAGCATATAAAAGTGATAAGTTGAATCAAAGGAGCATCGAAGAATGTGTCTGATTGCTCTTACCTATCTTTCGTGGAAATATCGGCATTCACCACCTTAGGGAGGCACGGTGCATTGGCTGCTTTCAGAAGCGATATGAAGTAAGCCGGAAAATAAAAGCAAACTCAGAGCCATGTTCACATCTATATCACTTAATGCTGGTGGTAACACTCTCGTAAGCGATACAATGTATAAGCAGGTTAATGGAAACCTCGTCCTGGGGTGAAGTGTTGAGCACAATCGTTAACAATTTTTGATCAGAGTACATTATGAGATGGTTGAAAAACAGCCGCTCCATTCCCAAACCTCTGAAAGCGAGAAATTGAAAAGATACCACAATTTAACAGGAAAACTACTGTTCGTACCATTCCCATGGAATTAATTCGTATCCACACTACGCTCTTATAAGTACAATCGAATAAACAAACCTCTAACGTCTTGGAAAGTTCTCGAAACAGTACTATTATCAGGTTGTTCGCTCAGTTACTCTTTAGAGGCTGCCTGATACACATGTCGAAATGTCTCGTACTGTAAGCGTACCATATGTTGTTCTTATGGGCAAATGTAAGTATTTGATCATGGCGATCAAAATTTCACTCACGATCCCGGCCTTCTATTCTGCAGGTGTCATGGATGGAAGCGGGGCTGTGAGAAGGGGCGCTGCTTTTGGTCCATCGATCCACTCAGGTCGATTGACCCTTCGATCCCTTTGGGGTTAGGCAGTTGGTACCGTACTTGTTTAAGAGAAAAAGAGCACAAAATTATTCATCGGCTGGCCTCGCAGACTGCATGTAGAACAGTCGGCGATCACACTGCATCTACCGATTTGAATGGAAGTAGACGGCGGAGCGCGTTTACATCAAAGGAATTTGATCGGCTGCTGGGGGCTTTATCTCTGTATTGCTTCCAACTTATAGGAGGATCCAAATTTAGCAAGAAATTCTCACAACACTTCAAATACCCCAATGTTTGCCATATAGGGGTTCGCTCAGTTTAGGCAACCAGAGTTTTTGCGTAGCAAATTGATACCAAGTTAGAGGCATCGTGTTGGTAACCGTGACGATGACCATACCGCCCGCATCGGCTTATAGCTAATTTGAAGAGTTGAAGCGCTCTGGAAAGAGCTATTAGGAAATCGCACGCTTATCTTGTGGGAGAGCGTCAGGTCATCCTTAGGAGGTCAGGTCCGCCAGTGTTGACAGACCATTCAAACCAGCTTAGCCTTATGCTCACACGCATTTATTTACGTTAGCGGACTTGATTTGGGAAATGGCTGGCTACGAGCGAATCAGAGTTAATCTCAAATGACCTAATCTAACTGGAATACTTGATAGGACCAGATCCTCCTCAGCAACGCCGGGGAATTTAGCAAGCATGCATGCATTCGTTGTCAGTACAGTCCTTTTTTCCAAAACAACCTCAATTTTCAAAGGACTTTTTCATCAGCAAAGGGATGATGGATAGCAAAAGGTCTTTGCTTACTGTCGTTTTTAATGAACGACTAACCCATTCACAAAGACCCCTAAACAAACATTACTCACATGACGACCGGTACAAGTCACCTCAACACTTCCAAAATTATAAAAATGGCCGCATTTCTATAACCAAAATCTACCTTGCATGGATGAAAATGACATCCTCATCCATTGAAGATAGTAGCAGTCGTTGCTCATACTCAAGGATTTCAACAGTTCCATGACAAGGATCATCTTCGACGACTTCTTCATCATCCGATATAACCTCTTGCTTTATTTCCACATTCATCATTCCCTGGCCCTAATGCGTAAGACCACTGGTGTAACCCACATCCACGTCCTCACAGGAAATGCGACTTCTGAGAGTTTTCGTACTTCATCAACTCATATGTACTTAGCAAAGTGCGCAGCAAATACTATCGCGAAGAGAATCACCGAAATAAAATACGTCACAAGGTTAGGTCACAGTTTTATTGGAATAAGCAAGAAAAAATCGACTACAATGACGAGATCACAGAAGGCTTAAGAATCTAAGACAAACAAAAACCGAAAAAATTGTATACAACTGCGAGTAGTAAGCATGGTTAGGGTACCAGTAGTCAAAATTGGATAGTAAAACAAAAATTGAAAATGCGAAGAATATTCAAAAAGTGCATGCTACATATGTACAAAGAGGCCAAATAGGGTCACAATGAAATTGGGATGTCTAAATACCTCGTCTTTCTAGCGGCAGAACTGTCAATGACGATCAAGCGGGTGTGTCTATGCTGCTCACGTTATTGCGAAGCTGGGATTCATGGAACAACTGAATGCTTTAAGGATACTGCCACTTGAAGCCATGAGAACAGTGCAGGGGCACCCTCAATTTAATGTGGCTCGTGAGAATTTCTCTCTTCTTATAGGCAAATTGGCAAATCGACAATGATGTTGTCGCGCGAGCGGAGTACATTAGTGGCGAGGGGCTCGATCCACGTTTCTTTGCATAACCTCTTAATATAGCTCAAACTAATCCACCAAGAATCTCACCAAAACGTTTGCCTGGTTCACGCTACCTGTAAGAACTGATGCAGCGCACTACACGGGATCATTCAACATCGACGGTATTCGCTCAGGGTCCATCGTTTTACATACGCACAACAAAAAACATGGTACTAGCCGTGAGCATTCAGTCTACCCATTACCCAAGAATTTCCAAGGCCAATGACAAGAGGAGACCACAAAGGCAGAAATTGTTTGGTTACATTTTGTTCCACTTATTTTCCAATGCATGAAGGAAGCTTCACACTCACAGGTTTCTCAACCGTAATCCTAGAATACGGTTCGCAAAAGTATTTTCACCAACAGCAAAGCTTGAAGAGCACAGGAAATGAAAGAAACTCTGAGAAAAGCATCACGCGCACTAAACATCCAAAGGAAGAAATAGCTCACACATCTAGTAAACTACTTTCAACTGGATATAAGTTTTTAGGTAGGAGATGACGTCCACAATACGACCCTTGCTTGAGGCTCCTCACCTGAAATTTAACATACATTTAAACGGCCGGTGAATCGAGCAGTTGCAATGCTACTCAGTTCAACCAATATACCATCACTAAGAACTTTACCAGAAATAAAATTGATGCAACATAATTCCAGCACTGCCCTGTCCCATCAAACCTTCTAACACTCCCCATGACAGAAAGGTTGCAAGCACCACTTCATCCAAACCACCTAGGGAGAGCAAACACATAACCCTGAAATAGAGAGAAGAATGAAATAAGAAGTTGGCAACCTAAGAAAGCCAACCGTCTTTTAAATCCAAACAACCAATTGCCGTCATTCCTTCTACATGAACGGACATCTCAGGCAAGAAATCCAACCCATAGCCTCGCCCCAACATCTTGAAAAAATAAAGTTTCCTTCACTGAAGAAACCTCGTTCACACATAAATGCAATAGGGCTACTGAATTCTAACCTCTTCGAGACAGAGCTTCGAACTAATGGTCCGTCATGCCCACCGGCTGTGATTACACGATCGCGATAAATGGCCACTCCTGCGCCAGATCGTACTTCGAGTAGTGACTCCCCTGATCTCCAACGATTTGCGCACGTGCATCGTATAACTCGACCTGTAACTAAGCGAAATAAGTCGCACAACACAAACACATTCATACGTTGGCAACCGTTTGCAGCCTGTGAAACCCTAAACCCTCCCCTATCGCTGCGCGTGTGGCCAATCGACATGTTTGTCACCATTATCTGCGCCCTTTCTCAATCGCATTCTCATTCAATGCTTTGATTTATTTACTTTTCAGCTTTCATTTCGATGCAATATCTCGAATGCGTCTACCGAGACTTGTTTCGCGTGTTCTTTTTACTGATACGTAGGATCTGCAGTGTAAACTACTCAAAAAGTGGTCCACTGGATGGCAGACGGGTGATAGACCGGCGATATGATAGGCGTGTGAAGTTTTTTTTGCGTCTAGCGATTTGCGGTCAGGAGTATTTATTGATCCCGCAGTCCAGTGCAAATCTTTGGGTCCACCGAACGAGTTCTGTATGAGTCGGACTACGTGCGCTATTGTGGAAAAAGAAATGGACAAAGATGGACTTTGTGTAGAAATGAATCCATATCTAAATTGTGAGGAGTTATTGGGGTGAAATGGGAACTATAAATTTTTCATTAACAAGCACTAATGCAATACCCTTACCCTAACATAATCCTTAGAAGTAGGACTGAAAAGCAGCCCTCTTGTGCATCATATCGCACGCCGAACAAAACCCAAATTAGTGCTCACCGTGTTCAGACATTGTCTAGACTGTCCATCATAGCCTCCCACAGCGTAAACAATCCCATTCATAGCAGCCACTCCAACACTTGATCGCCGCGTTGTCATTGAGGGTAACGCCATCCACTGACCTAAACAGAAGAGCAACACTCTAAGTTCCACACATCATCCGAGCTAGTTTGAATTAACATAGAGCAAGAGAACATGATACAATGCAAGAACAAATTCGAAAGACGAATTCAAGCCAAGCCCTCCTCGACTTAATTTGGCTATTTTGGGCGTTACTTAGACATTTTGAGAAACATTACGAAAAAATACAATACATGTACCGTTTGACTAACTATGATATATTAAACCTTCAATCAGTCAATGATGGACCAACAAAAAAGTAGCGCTTCAATAATATCGCTAGATGAAAGGATCCTCTTCCCTTGCCTGTCATATGCACAACCCAGTACTGTGTGTTTCATTCACTCATACTTCACTTCATATTCGCTCATGATTGAGCTCGAACCATTTTTTTTTGAAGCAACAATCAGAATGAAAGCGAATTGATATCGATACGCGAG